ATGATGCAATTTTCACATGCCAAAAGCAGTAAAATTTCTGTTTTATCCTACAGACAAATTTAGCTTTCTTGATGCTATTGCTTTCAGTTTGGGGAGAATATATAGTTTGCTAGATATTGCTGTTGTTAAGTGTTGAGTGGGTTCCGACTATATAGAGTTTCTGAGGAGTGGCTGGGAGCTTGAACTGCCAACCTTGCAATTCAAACCGACTTTGGAGTCCAGCCCATTAGCCTGCAGCACCATACCATATGTATTATATGGTAGCGTTTTGGTTAATGGTATGTTTAATCTGAAAAAGTCAAATAGAACACACATCAGCACACTAAAATAGAGAGTTCAGATGTAAAACACTTTTAATACCACCTGTTATAATGAAAATATTACTCTGAACTAGATTATCATTAAGTATCATTGCTTATTAAACTATAAAATCTGCCAAATCTTGTGTTGTTGTTGTTGTTAGGTGCCATCGAGTCAGTACCGATTCTTAGCACCCCTATGCACAAAGAGAACAAAACATCACCCATTCCTGCGCCATCCTCTCAGTTTTTATTTTACTTGAGCCCATTGCTGCTGCCACTGTGCCAATCGATCTCATTGGGGGTCTTCCTTCTTTTTCGCTGACCCTCCACTTTATCAAACCATGATGTCTTTCTCCAGGAACTGGTCCCCGCTGATGATATGTACAGTGTATGTGAGGCAAAGTCTTGGCCATCCTGGTTCTAAGCAGCATTCTAGCTATATTTCTAACAACACAGATGTTTGTTGTTTTGGTAGTCCATGGGACTGTCAGTATTTTTCTCCAACACCACAACTCAAACATATGAATTATTTTCCATTCTTCTTGTTCATTGTCCAACTTTCACATGCATATGAGGTGATTGAAAACACCGTGGTTTGAGTCAGGCGCACTTTACTCCTCAAACTGTTATCTTTGTTCGTTGAACATTTTTTTATTTTAGTAATTTTTTTTTCCTTAAATGTCTTATTGTGAATTATGTGATAGTTTATATGGGAGAACATTAGTTTTACATTCATTCTATCATATATCGTCTCATTGCCATGGTTACAATCCCCTCCATGCATCATCAACCAACCAAAGGGTATACCCTGCAAGCCTTCCCCCGTATCCCCAAGGTCTTCAGCACACAGTCGCTCTCCCTCTCTGGATCTAAAGTCTCCAGCTGCTCCATCGCTCCACGTCATCATCTCTGCCTCCATTTAGGCATCACTGCTTCTCTGGGTAGGGTCCCCGCTCTTTGCTCTTCTCTCTTGATGGTCCTAGGGACCTCCGCTCCTAGACTGAAAAGTTAATCACTCCCCTCCTTGCTATAAAACATCTACCTTTACATTTCCAACCCTCACAATCAGTCCTGATAACAATTATTCACTATTGTATCACAAGAGCCCCGTCTGCATTTCATTGCATCAGCCCCGCCTAGACAGATTGAATACTACTCACTGGAGATTCTACCTTCCTCCAGGCCCTCTGGATCTAGGTTCCCTCTTGAAAGCTTGTTAAGCCAGTCACTTCTTGCCTTTGTAGCCCCCCATCCCCCATTTTGGGTAGCCAATGTCCAAGTTGCCCATCCCTGTCTACTCTGTGTGTAGAAGGGATGGGAATGATTCTTGCTGTAAGGACTTGTTCCTCTTTTGAGCTACTGCTTCCATAGGTGTGGGTCAAGTTCATCAAATTGTATGAGAATACTTTTTTTTCTTTCTTTCTTGCTTTTCTTCCCTTTTCTTTTTACTTCTGGTTGAGCTCTGATAAGTGGGTATTATCTGCAAGTGTGGGTGTTCTTATGCCCTCTCGTCTTATCAGCTGGTAGCTTCACTCTCCACTCTAGTCCTCTGTGGCTATGTCACTGACTCTGGGCCCAACAGTCCCTAGGTCTTGCCACACTGCTGGCCAACCAGGTCTTCACTCGGGTTCACAGAAGTCTATTGAACATTGTAGGGCTTAGCTCACCACTTCATTGCTGTTTTCCCTCACTTCCCCTTATCGGTGTCTAGCGTGGTCTCCAATCAGAACGTGTATTCCCATTGAGTCTTAGTCTTGGAAGGAGGTTTGCACTGAGGGGACCCCAACCACTTGCCTTGATGTTTCCCTGGGCAAGCAAATTGCCTTGTTGATGTACTGTTCCAGCCGTTTTTAAATTATCTTCAGTAAAATTTTACTTGCATTTGATATTAATGATATTGTTCAGTGATAGCTGCATTCCATTTGCGTCACCTCTCCTTGGAATGGGCACAAATATGGATCTCTTCCAATCAGTTAGCCAGGTTGCTGTCTTCCAAATTTTGTAGCGTAGATGAGTGAGAACATCCTGTGCTTCATCAGTTTGTTGACAAATTTCAGTTTGTATTACATCAAGTTCCAAGATGTCAATTTGTTTATCACAATTCCCAAGTATACCTTGGACTTCTTGTTTGGTTCTTGATCAAATGCTACCTCTTCAAATGATTAAACATTGGCAGTTTGTTTTTGGTACATTTACTCTGTGTATTCCTTCCATCTTTTTTTTAAAAAATTCAACTTCCACGTACTGAATGCCAACTATATGCCAGACACTGTACAAGATGCCAAGGTTCAAACATATATGCATTTATGAACACTCTTTATATTGCAGTAAGTCATAGAATGTGCAAGTGAGTAATCATAAAGTATGAGTATATGAAGCGTTTTGAAAAGCAGACATAAAACAATACTGTTGTAGCCAGTTGGGAGCATAATACCAGATAGTGATTTAATGAACAGAGACTTGAAATGAAGCTTGAGACATAAGATGTTTACTAGATTGAAACACCTGTCAGAATAAAGGGAAAAAAGCATGAATAAAGGTAAAGAGATTAATCTGGTTTGTCAGGAAGTGACTGGGAAGCGCGCACCGTTCTCTGATTGTGTAAATCTGTCTATATTACTCAAGAGAATCTGAGCCTCGTCCTTGAGGACTGCTATGTAGGTAAGTGGTAAAACCACGTCATTTTAGAAAATTCATTGTCGTGGTAGAGAACTCATTGGGCTCATGAGGATACAGACTGGAGACAGGAAGAATGGGTTCTAGAATACCATTCAAATTATCTAGACAAGAGATGCTGGTGTCCTGAGAGAGGGTAGTGGGAAATAAAGGGTGCAGAATCAAGATGTGTGATCTTCCAACAAATATAAAGTAGCTGTAAAGACCCAATACCCCTGCTACTAGGGAAAACTGGTATTCCTTTGAAAATATCAGTAGTAATTTTGGTCAAGAAAAACACCCTAGTAAAATATTAAATATGGGTAACCACTTCAGGCTGTACTCTAGAATCACTGTGGTGAGTGGTACAAGCTATATTCAGCTTGGCACAAAGTCACTCTGTAGAAATTCTTAACAGCATTAGTAAAAATCATATAGCCCTATAGAATGTTAGAAATGTGTTTAATCACAGGTTCACTAGCCCTACAAATATTTCATCTGGATTTCTACATTTGATTTGTTGTCAGCAGTGATGTGTGATATGTCAGTACACAGAAAATTGTCAGTATGAAGTGGGTATGGGTTCTGTATTTCAACATGAGATTTACAAGTTAAGATTATAGTTTTATCCAAAATGTAATATATTTTTTTTCCTTAAATCTGATTTGACTTGATATTTTCTACCTTCTTTTGATGCTTTCTGCATCATTCAATATTTTGCCTATGTAATCCTTCAATACTGCAAGTTGAGACTTGAATTTTTTTTTCAGTTTGGTTTTGTTGGATATCTAAAAATACAAAGATGATAAATGACATATTGTAATGCTTGCCTTCAAATAGCCCAAAGTGCATATATCTTTGTAATTTAATGTGGTAAATGCTGTGCTCAGAGTCCTTTTCTCCCCAGAATCAGAGTCTCTAAGCTTCTTGTTTTAGTAATTTGTTCCTGAAATAGGTTTGTGATGAATGTAAATGGTGAGTGGTGAGTGGTGAGTGGTGAGTCTTAAGAGGACATTAGAGTTTCTGTCAGACTGGAATTTAAGGAGAGTTAATGCCATATATAAAAGTACCTGTGTCATATGCCATATGTTAAAAGGAGTATGACATGGTGTGAGACCTTCTATAGGTAGATTCCTTAAAGGAAGTTGGGCTCTGAGAACAACAGGGAGTTTATGTTGTGGTAGATTCCTAACACTTGTAGAAATCCGTTTTGATTACTGCATTTACCCAGGCAGTTGAATACTTACTACACAAATTGATTATTTGCAGAGCTTAACATGAGAGAGGAATTTTAGTCTTTCATTTATTGAGTTAACAAATATTTTTTTAAGTTCTTATTGCAGAACAGATATTTTGCCAGATGTTTTCATTGAAAACTTTTCCACTTATTTACTAAAAATTGCTATTCAAATGCACATCTAATAGTGAAGGAATCAAAGCTCACTATAGTGGAGAAAGCATTGTCATGTATTCATAAACTTAGGATACTAGTATGAGGCACAGAGGCATTTTCTTCTAAGTCTAATGCTCTTTTGAGATTAGAAATAGAACTCACACCTTGCACTCATTAGCCCAAGTTCTTTGCCTTAACCACAGTGAGGTGGTGGTGGTGTGCCAACTTATAGTGACCCTGTACAGGGTTTCTGAGGCTATAAATCTTTACAGGAGCAGAAAGCCTTCTCTTTCTCCCATGGAACAGCTGACAGTTTCGAACTGCTGACCTTGAGGTTAGCTGCCCAATTCATAACCACTACACTACCAGAGCTCCTTAACCACAGTGAGAGAGACAGGTATTTAATCTCGTAGGAGGAAGCAGTTCTAAGGAGCTTAGACATTCTGTATGCTGTATTGATAACGATTTATGTTTTATAAAGAAACAAAGATAGTTATCACTAAACTTAAAGATTTCCTTCATAAATTAGTACATATTAATTGACGTAGTATGACGTAGTATTTGAAAGATATACTTTACCACAATTTGGGGGATGCTGTTAGATGTTAATTATATTTCCTGATATTCTCAATGCTGATTCTTTTTTACAGACAAAGTGATGACACACCAGAGAAACCTTCAGTAACATATGCAACATATCGGGGCCCCAGGCAAATTAGGAAATACTTAAAGAAACAGACTGCGTTAGAAACTGTGGATCACTTGGATGGAGGAAAGGAAAGTTCTGACCCTGTGGAAAGCGCACACACTGGCCCTGGAAGTGAGGCTGGAGCAGTGGTAGCTCCAAAAACATCATCATCAACTAGCACAGACCCATCTCTGAAAGGACATTTTCTTGGAGGCCTGTTAGAGGACTCTGATTGTAGAAAAATAAATGTGAGCACAGAAAGCCATCCAACAAACAACTCAGAACTGCAAAACAGTGCTGCTTCTAAGGATGTTTTTAATAAAACTGATCCTGGGGGACTTGAGAGAAGTAGGTCATCCCCTTCTCTGATGAACTCCAACTCCGCTCTTGGAGAAAATGATTCACAGCGGCCTCTGAGTTGTGTACCAGTTTCTCAGACTGACAGAAATTTGGTATGTTCAGCTTTGTTTACAGGAAGTAACAACAGCAGTGCTCCTTGCAATCCAGATTTTCAGAGGAGAACTATGACAGAAAACACAGTAAAAGAAAGCACTTGTTTGCCAAATAATAGGACATTGGTGCAAAGAGGAGGGCCTGTCAAACTTCAGAGCCCTGCTGCTTCTGACCTCGCTTGTGGTAAAGCTGATGGGAGTGACACTACCAAACAGGAAAGTGCAAATTTGCCAAGTCCAAAGGTATCAATTAGGCACGAAACTCTGCAGTTGCCAGACAGTAAGTGTTCTGACACACAACCCATAGATAACTCATTAAAGCTGGCTGCCCATCACACTGGTACCATTGCTTTCCAGAGACATGTTGTGACAGACCCAGAATGTGTAAATGAAAGAAAGCAGTCTGCTGCTCGAGACTCTCAAATACATTCAGCTGTTACAGAAGTCAAGCAAGAAACAGAAAGCTCTTCACCTGTGGAACACACAACTTCAAGTACTACGAATGCTCTAAAAAGTAGAAACGAGTCATTACCCAAAGACACTGACCAGTTTGCAACAGAAACCAAAAAGCTTGCCATTAGGCCTTGTGACACAACTCCTCAAATTATTAGAATAAATCAAAAGGACTTGGCCTCTTTAAAATGTACCAGTGAATCAGCAGTTGTAGCATGCTCAGAAAATAAATTAGCACCTGAACTGAGTTTTAAAGTGAATAGAAATCACATTTCAGAACCACCTTTTGTCTCTGAGAATCCTCAACAAGCCAAAGTATCAATGGATGCTAAAACATCTCATACCCTTGACTGTAAGAAGTTAAATTTCAATACTTCACCCCCTACCTCTGTTTCTGGTGTTGGCATGCTTGGCAAGTTGGAGATGCCTGTTTTAAAGGATAAAGGTACTGTGCTCATTGAAACAGGGGGTGTCAATAGTACTGGTGTTTCTTGTCAATGTCAGGACAAAAATGTGGCAAATTGTGTTGAAACTGCAGATGGAACGAGGCCTCCTTCTTCACTCCACCTTAAGCACACACCTTCAAGTTTTGAATCCAGGGACGTTTTCCCTGATAGTAAAGAATACCAGGTTTCACTCGATCCTGAAAGCAGTGATGTCCTCTTAACAGGAGCAGGCCTGTTGAGCTCTGAGTCTGGAAGCCGCTCTAAGAACCACAGTTCAGTTTCATCTCAAAGGCCTAATAAAGCGAAGCGAACTCCTTCCGACACTAAAGTAAATAAGAGCACTTTGCATAAGTCTGGTTCTTTTTCCTTGGAAGCCAAAGCTGATACATTTGCTCAGATGTTACCAAAAGCTGAAGTAGATTGTCAGAATGGTGTTCCTGTTGAATCATGTTCTAGAAGAAGAAAAACTATACCCCTACCCAAAAATTCTGTTTCTCAAACTGATCCCAGAATGATTTCTCAGAGTAAAATTTCTTCTTCTACATCTGAAATAACAGATGTCCCAGCAAAGCCAATTTTGTCAGAATTGCCTTCTTTAGATAACAGTGTTCAGTCCTTAGATGATGAGATGAAAGAGAAATGTTTAGATTTTGACTATAGACAGAATTACCAAGCTGAGGTTTTTACTCCTGCCACCAACTCCCAAGATAAACAGGAGACAAAGGTGGAAGCATTTGGTGATCCTCTTCTTCTCCCATTACTTCCTGTTCATGATGGAAAAATCACTAGGCAACTGTTACACAGTCATGAAACTGAACCTTACATGGTTTGTGAGCCTTTAGAGACTCATGGGACCAAAAGTTTTCCAGCTGCTTCTGGACTCTCAGAAATGGCAGAACTCAGCTTAACTAATATCTCTCCAAAATTCCAAGAAACTGACAGCATAAAAGTAAATTCACCTTTTCTGAGTTCTGATGTCAGTTTGGGAAAAAATGCCTCTGCAGCTGCAGATTCAAGCTGGCTTAATGTCCCTTCTGTGCAGAGATCAGAACAGAAAGCCTCATCTCACAGAGCGAAAGAGAGTGCTCCTTTCCTAAGGGGTTGTATTGATGATGTGTCGTCTTTGTCTGGTAACTCAGAAGAAGTTAACATGGTTACAGGTTCATGTAATCTAAAAAATAATAACTCTCAAAAAGTTACCATAGGTCTCACACATGAAGGTGTCCCCTTAACTAACCTGCTGTCCCCTGATATCTCTTATTTGGAATGTGAAACATCTATCCCAACAGGGGCAGAAGTGACCCCACTTCGGGAACCTTTTGGGGTTCATCCTGGGAAAGGATCTCTTGAGTTCCCAGCTGCTGCCCAGTTTGACAATCCCATGGAAGCAGAGGCTGCAGCAGTTGCTGGGGTTTCAGTGTCAGTTAACAGCTCAGGACAGCAGTGTTCTGAAGCATCTGCTGAGCATATAGAAGCAAGGAGAAGAGCACATGACCAACTTTTGGACTCTAAAAGTGGCTTACTTAAAAAGGCTGATACTTTAATTGCTGAGATCTTTAACACTGTCAGAGAAGAACTGAAGTCTAAACCTACAGTTGGCATTCACGAAGGACCTATAGCCACAAGTAGTATAATGAATCCAGGCACTCTGAAAGAAGACATCCCTGAGAAAAACACGTCAGAAGAGGTGATACCAACAGGAATCCTACTGGCAGATCATTTGGAGGAGCAGGACATGGAAAACACATCAGAAAGCAAAGGGGAAGAAAAGGCCAGTGTTTTGCTTAAAGTTGGTGAGAAGAGTCTTCTTTTTGATTCTGATAGAATGGATGTGTCTTGTTTGTTAGAAGATCAAGCTAGGGAGTTAGTTGATGAGATTATTTATTCAGCCCAAGAGAATTTGATACATGATGCTTTTGAAGATACTGAGAATATCTGGGATTCTGAACTTCAGGCTAGTACTTCAAAAATTCTAAACAGTGATGATATTAAATCACATGATAGAGTTAGGGAGTTCCTGGTATCAGAGCAGGCAGTAAACCAAAGCACACATGAAATGAATGAAAAGAAAATTTTAAGTAGATTCTTCTCTGTAAATAACTTACTTAGTAGCACAGAGTCAATTAAAGGAAGAGAAATTGTTCTCTACCAGAAATCCCTATTTTCTCAAAGTGGAGTAGGGTGTTCTGATAGTATAAATTTGCAGGAATCAGATACTGCTTTACTAGCTGAAGACATGCCTCATGAAGAGTTAGATGATGGAATAAAAACAAAAACACATTTACTGCTCGAAGATGACTGTAAACAGAAAATTGAAACAGAGTGTGTGGATAATCACAAAACTGGGACAGACAAAAGGACTCTTTTATTAAATTTCAAATGGCCTCCATTCGTGAATGATGATATCCATGCACCTGGTACATCCAAGAGCAGCTTATCTGATAGTCTAGTGTGTATATCTGAAAAAAGCTTGCCAGGACACAGTAGTAAAAGCACACCCCTTTCCCTGTCAGATATGGGAAAAGTACACAAAAAGGATACTGAAGTAAACAAAGGAAAAATGGAATTTATGCCTTCTATGTTAGAAATGGGGGAAGCAAGCACAAGGGATGTTGAATTGGATAGTAAGAAATTTGAGGCAGCTCTTCCTATGTTAGGAATGGGAAAAGCACAAAAAAAGGAGACTGAATTGGATAGCACAAAAATTGAGCCAAGAGCTGATATTTTTAACATGGGAGAAGTATGCCAAATGGGTGCTGAGAAGTATATTGAAAAAAATGAGGGATTAAATGAGGGATTATCTGTCATTTTAGGGATGGAAAATGTTTATAAGATGAAGGATAATGAAGGGGATATTGGCAAAACTGAAGTAATGCCTGTTATGTCTGAGGCGAAAAATATCTATCAGAAACATGCTGAGGGGATTACTGGGAAAACTGAAGTGATACCTGATGTACTGGAAATGGAAAATATTTGCCAAAAGGATGCTGAAGGGGATATTGTAAAGACTGAGGTGATTCCTGTTCCTTTAGAAATGGAAATAATATACCAAAAACATGCAGAAGGGGATATTGGCAAGACTGAAATATTACCTGTTATGCCAGAAGTAGAAAGTACCTACCAAAAAAATGCTGAGATTATTGAAAATGCTGAAGTGATATCTGTTAAATTAGAAATGGAAGATATTTGCCAAACGGATTCTGAAGGGGATAATGACAAGACCAAAGTGGCACCTGTTAAGTCAGAAGTGGAAAATATCAACCAAAAAGATGCTGCGAGGATTACTGAAAAAACTGAGGTGATGACTGTTCCATTGGAAATGGGAAGTGTTTTCCAAAAGGATGCCGAAGAAGCTATTATTGTAAGGACTGAGGAGACACCTGTTATATTAGAAATAAAAGATACTTACCCACAGGATGCTGCAGGAGATAGTGGCAAAACTGAGGTGACTCCTGTTGTGCTAGACATGAAAAACACTTACCAGAAGAATGCTGAAGGTTTAACTAGGAATACTGAACTGTTGTTACCTTTTATGTTAGATGTGAAAGAAGCACACAAGAAGGCACCACCTGTCTCTGCCTGTTCAGGAATGGAAAATACATGCAAAGAAGATGTTAAAGAGACTTTTGGAACAACTGTGTCCACGCTTCCTATGACAGAAATAGAGAGAAGATCTCCAGAAGATTCTGATGGAAATAGTGAGAAACACGAAGTGTTATCTACAAGGTCAGACATTGAGAAAGTATATGGAACAGGTCTGGATTTAACCTTGTCACAAGCAGAGGCCATGCTTCCTTCTGAACTTGAACCTGAAAAAGTACCACAAGTGTATCCTGAAGTGATTGTTGGAGAAATGGAGGAAGAGCCCTCTGGAATAAAGGGAAGCTTAATAGCGTGTGACAGTGGATACAGATCACATTTCAGAGGCTATGAATCACCTACATTAAGCAAGGATTATGAAGGCTACCCAGCCTTAGCAGTACCTGATTTTCAACCTGGGGATACTGTGGTAAGTCTGGACAAAAGAATGTCTGTTACTGCCGTATGTAACAAAAAGACAGATCTGGACTGTAGCAGTGAAAAAGAACACTCTAACTTAGCCTTTGTTTCTCAGGATGAACAAGAAAATCCATCTTTTACTATATTATATGAAGAGCCCCTTCAAGATGAGGACAAGTATGCTTCTGCAGAAGTAAAAAGAACACATTCTCTCTTATTTCCTGACACATCCCTTGACAGCATGCCTGCTCTGGCATGTGAAAGATCTGAGAGTAGAACTGACCTTGTCCATCATTTTGAAAAGGATACTAAACTGGGTGAGACTTTTGATAGTGATCATTCAGAAATGTTCTTATCAGTGGAGGCCAAACGGTACAAAATTTATCCCTTAGCTTTGTCTCCCATCTATGAGGATGACAGTTCTCAGGAGGACATTCTATCCAGTGAGGTCTCACCTGGGCACCATGGCTCCACAAAATCAAGAGAGAGTACAAATCAGCCGTCTTCTGTTTTATCACTTCTCCAGTCAGTTTCAGAACGTCTAAAGATGAATTTTGATGAGGATGGACAGGAGACGGGGAGGGAAGGAGAAGAGGAGGAGGAAGAGGGAGAACTAGTGCATAAAGGAAATCTGAGATCTCGCAGGAGAGAACACATTACCTTCCAGTTGCCGGATTCTCCAATTACATTTTCCCCTGACGATGACCAGGAAAGGACTGGAATTTCTAAGAATTCATATGCAATGGCAAATGAACCTACTACCTCAAATCTGCAAATTGGTCTGTGGCCAGAAAAAGCCTCGTTTCTACAAAAATCAGACCTTACTTCTAAACTACATTCTTCTTTAAAAAGTGCCTATCATCAATATCTGCAGACTTCCAAAACCCATTCCTCGGAAAAAGGAGCCAGATTTGGTGGAAATTTTCAGGAACCAGTATCAAAGAGTTCCCATGTTCAAGACAGCTCAGCCAGATTAACCTTATTCACAGAGGTAAGTTATTTTGATTATTCACTAGTAAGTAAAGCTTTAGATCATGAAATGATCTAAAAGTTTATTAAGAAAACCAGTGTTTTGAAGTTGTAAAAAATTTGTTTTAAAACAGGTCAGCATTATTTTTTAACTGACGTGGTTAATAACTCATGTATTTTAGTTGGACTCTTACAATGAGAAAAAAACGCTAAATCAGAATTTCAGAGGTGCAAAAGAAAAGCAACTTATTGTCTAGTTCTGGGCTGGTCATTATTTTTCAAACTAACTGAAGTGACAACATTCTGAATTTATTAAGGTACTCTAGATGAAGAAATCGTTGCTTTTCATGTAGCCTCATGAATATATTTCTGTTGAGTAAAATTAAGTAATGATGTGACAAAAACTCCTCAGTTGAATTGCTCATGTTTTTCTTCATATGTAGCAGGACAGTGAAGAGCCAGATTCACAGATAAGAGCTGGAAACATAGCAGGAAATCGTTTTTGAAATTCAGTAACATTTGTTTTTCTTTTAAACAACTAATGTAAAAACAGAAAAATGTGAGCATGTGAGACTTTCCTTTCTGGCATTCCCAAGATCGTGGAACTTTCTCTGGGAATCTCATGAATTGTACCTTTATCTGGAAAAGCCTAAGGAGCAAATAATAATACTTCAATACCAAGTATTTGTAAAGGAAAGTCACTTTAAAAGAAATGAGGGGGGTTTGAAAAATGTTTCTTAAGTGGTTCTCCCAAACAGCCCACTGCTGCTGTCAAGTCATTTCCGACTCAGAGCAGCCCTATCGGACTGAGGACTGAGTAGACCTGCCCCATAGGGTTTCCAAGGATGGCATCTTTCCAGAAGCAGACTGCCGTATCTTTCTCCCACTTAAGCAGCTGAAGGGTTCAAACTGTCGACCTTTTTGTTCACAGCCAAGAGCTTTAACCACTGTACCACCATGGCTACTGAAGGGTTCTACATTGCCTGTTAAATCAAGTGGAACCGTTTCAGTCTGTATTGTAAGGCCCTCTATGTTTTGTTTTTGTTTTGTTTTTTTTCTAATCTTGTCTCCCTATGCTTTGGTTATATACCGCATGTTTCCTACCACCATACTTTTTCTCAAGATGATTCTCTTCTGGAATTTGTTTTCTCTCCTACCCCCACTTGGTGTTGCTACGTATTTTAAATTATTGAATTCCTGTTTTTCCAGATCCTCTCAATACCACTGCTTTAAGGAAGCCTCTTCAGAATCTCGCTGTTTTCCCTACACCTCCACATGAGAACCATCCCTTTGACTCTCCATAGCCTGCCATTTTGTGTATATTTTGTCTGTGGATTTACCTTAGTCTTCTACTTAGAAGAGTCATGAGTGACTCATGTGCTTCCGCCTTCTAATCTTTCTGCTCTTTGAGATCAATAACACATTATTTCCCTTGTAGTGCCTATAAAGGAGTTCCTGGTATGGCTTTGTGAGATAAAAACACTGGACTGCAAGGTCAGCTTGAACCCCAGGTTTGGTGGTTCAAACTCATTAGCTGTTCTTCAGAAACCATATGCTGTTGTTGTTGGGTTTTAGTGCCATCAAATCATTTCTGACCCATAGCGATCCTGTTTAGGGTTTCTGAGAAGCAGCTGGTGAGTTTGAACCACCAACCTTGTGGTTCAAAACAACTTTACAGTCCAGCTCATTGACCCACGATATCACACCAGGACTCCCTAGAAACCCTTTAGAGAATAGTTATGAGTTGGAACCAATTCAACAGCACTTAACAAGAAGAGCCTAGGGAAGTATCTTGTCCCTAACAGCCATTAAGTAAAGATGTGATACATTGGATTAGTGATCGCTAAAGAAGTGAACTATCTTTCCATTGATGATCCCTAAGGTTTACTTCTTCCACTTTTATAATTTCAGAATGTTGACACGGAAACTCTGAGGTGTATCCCAAGACCTGGAAAGGTAAGCATAAGATTGTCAGGTATACAAAGATGAAATAGGAAAAATAGTTGCTGTTAGGCAATTTTAACTGATTTAGAAAATTCTGAAAGATTTAGCATCTTAAGTAATCATTTGCTTTTTATGTATTTAGGATATTTTCTATGTTCTAGAACATTTTGGAATTAAAAATGCATTTTTAAAATTTATTGTTGTGCCTACTCACTGTATGTTGCAGATGGTTATCTATGATCTTCATGGACGTAAATATAAACAAGAAATCTATGGTAATATTCCTGATGCTACATCATGGTCCTTTCCAAGTGGGGTACTGATAAAAGTTGTAAGGGGCTGGTAAGAAATCTCTTAAATTTTTATTGTATATTTTCTGAAATTAAGTATGTTTAGGTTTTTTGCTTTCTGTTGTGTCTTTATTAATGGCACATTTCCTTTGCCTTAGTTTTTGACTATTTTGAAACATCAGTATTATATAACTTACTAGGTAATATTTTGAAACATCATCAGTATTTTATAACTTAATTGTTTTCTTTATTTTCTGTGACAGAAAATATAGGCTGTTTGTAGTGCTTAGAGCCAGCAGTAAGTAAAAAGACGTTATATACAATCGATACCATTCCGGAACAGTGTTATTATCAGGATAACTTTGGCAGCAGACTGTTTTTCCATGGTCTCATTTTGTGAACTGTGTATAAAATGGAGTTGAAGGCGGCACAGCATTGAAAACTAGTTCAAAATAGTGGGCTGCTAAGGAATGTCAAGGCCACATAGTTAAAGTCATTTGTATGGCCGACATGTTCAGAGACTGAAAGATGCTTTGTGTGGCATGAAAATGAGGGGAACCTTTGTTTCTTATTATGGATCAGGTTCCATGGACTTGGAGGGACCAGGATTTCTTTGTCTAGTTTTTTGTTACCCACTGATCAGTACTCATGTAAGCAGAATGGTATAGTGTAGTCTTCCTATCATAGAATGGGATGTTTGTTCTATATAATCCAGAAACAGGAAAAGTAAGGGTACAAGTGTTAATTTCTAGGAGTTAACCTATCATTTTTAACATAATATGTACAGCTTTGTGTATGTAAAAAATATAAAGTACATATCTAAATATAGCTGAAGACATGTTATTAAGAAGCATTTTTATTTCCAAGTTCTGTTCACTTTTTTCTGTGACATTTGTCTGTACTTAAATTAGCACATATCCTTGTTTAAAAAATAGTGTCTGTGCTAACAATTTTAAAGCCAAGCTTTAAACACTTAAGTTGATAAGATGGTATGAATTACTAGGTATCATTTGTTTTTTGTCTTATTTCTTAGGAAAATAATTTAAACTGATCATGGCTTTTGTATTTCTTTAGCTGGATTTTATACGAAAAACCACATTTTCAAGGTCAGAAATGTGTGTTAGAAGAAGGGGAAAAGGTATTAAACCGTGACTGGCTTCTTCAGAACAGAAAACATCCACAAAGAAACTTTGTATTGGGTTCTATCAAACGTGTCTTAAAGGTACCAGAACCATTGTCTTTTTCTTGTGTTTTTTTAAAATTTTTAATTATTTAAGTTTGGTTTAGTTTGTCATGTAGTAAAGCCTAACGGTGCTTAGAAATGTCATTTTATTAGTTTATTATGTTGATGATATTCTTTTGAGTTAATACATATAAAGTATTAAATAAAAACTTAAATTTTTTTATACTTAAAATTTAAAATAATTGGCCCATTATTATTTTCCATAGTAAAACTATAGATTATGTACTGTATATATTTGTTGTTTTTGTTGTTGCTAAAGTGCCATAGAATCGTTTCCAACTCATAGTGACCCAGTATAGGGTTTCCAAGGAGCTTCTGGTGAGTTTGAACCACCAGTCTTGCGGTTCAAACTAACCGTGTGATAGAGTGCTTATCTTACCGTGCCACGCCAGGACTCCATATATATTTATGTGTGTGTGTGTGTGTATGTATGTATATGTACATATAGATGTGTATGTATATGTGTAAATAAATAATACAGGGTGCATAATAACCAGGAGTATGTGGCAAACAACCTACTAAAATGAGGAAGGTCTTCCATTATAATAAAAATGTGTCAGAAATGCTATGGTGATACAGAGGAATGAGTGTTGGGGGGAGTTAGTGTGAAATTGCTTAAGGTCTAGGAGAACTCACATTACTTTATGAAATGAGACATGCATTACAGGTCCTTGTGAGAACATGGGGGGGGGTGGGACATTCATCTACCTCACCTGAAAAAGCTGATCCCTGATTGGAATAAACAGAAGTTAGGCAGCATGAAAGAGGTGAGAAGAGCTCTTAGCAGAGTCACTTTTGTATACAGAGGTGGGTGTATGGAGGTGTGTCTGTGCACTGCAAGGAGATGAAGGCTGGAGAGTCAAGGATAGTGTCCATTTTCATGGAACGTATGAATGGCTAGCAATTCAGTTCAGTAAATGACATTTGAGTGCATACCTTAGTTAGCTAACTCAGAAATTCCTTTTGATGATTAGTTTGTAGGTATAATCTTCTAAGATTTCTATAATCTGTGGTTTTGTGCCTTCCCTGTGAATGTTGGGCACTGTGCCAGGCCTATCGGGAAAAAAAAGTGTCAGACAATCACCTCCCATACCACGTAGAAACCAAACAACAATAAAATCAAACAAAAACTCAATCTGGCAAGCGAAGCACTCAACTTTTCAATGGATATTTGCATACCAGCCATGTTTGCTTTAGAGTATATTGTAAGAATAAATAAGCAATGTTTGCCATTTTTCCTTCTTTCATTGTTCTTGGAGTCTTTTCTGTATGTTGTTAGCGTGTTAGTGCCCACTTGTCTTGAACTGGCTAGCAACTTTGAGTGAGGAAGGAAAATAAAACCATTTAGCATTGAATGGAAAAGACATTAGCATTGTTCTGAATATTTTACAACGTAATAATCAAATATCAAACTGCTTCCTCTCTCCAACTTTTTCAGAATTTTGCCTACTGATGAGAGTTTCATTTTCATGGTGGTGGTTTCCATTCTAAATTCATCTAGGTATAACCCAGTTGTATCTTGTTTTATCATCTTAGGCTGTACCTTTTTTAATAAGCTGAGAAGTCTGCTGTTACATTAGTGACTACAGGCATTTTTTTATATAAGGTGGAAATATGAAATTCATGTTTTGTTTTTCTCACTGTAATTCCTCCCTTCTGTTTTTCCCCCATCTAGTGGTTTTTATTAGAGAAAGTAGACTTGAAATTGGGTAAGTGCAATTGTAGCTCAGTGGTAGAAGTCTTTTCTTCCATTCAGGAGACTCAGGTTTCACTTCGTGACCCATGTGTCTTGTGCACAGCTCCTCTGTTAGTGGAGGCTTGCATGTTGCTGTGATGCTGACCAGGGATCAGCAGAACTTCAGACTAAGACAGACCAGAAAGAAAAGCCTGGTTCCAAAAATCATCCAGTGAAAATCTCATGGATTACAATGATACTATCCACAAGCAACTTGGGGAAGGCATCAGACACCCAACATGTTTTGTTTCTTTGTACTTGGGGTTGCCATCAGTTGCGGGCCATCTCGACAGCAGCCTACAACAATGAATTGGATAAGGACTTGAATATACTTGTTAGTTTGATAGTTGGTATTGAGCAAATAAATTAGTTTTGGGCTTCTACTTATCTTTGAAAATGAGAATATTAGTAATACCTATCTTCCAGAGTTTTATGTAAAGTAAACAAAATTACGCAGAGACTGTCACCCCTTTTTTTAGAACCCAAGATGAACTGTTTTACATCTATCTCATTCTGTTATGTATGTAGATGTTTGTTTAGATATAATGGAAATGAAATGGTATTTTGCAGAACAGTGTATCTTCTTAAGATCACGTGCAATGCTCTGCTATTTTCTATTCTAGTTATTTTCCCATGGCAGTTTTCATCAAGACCTATTTCTTTTTGGCAGGTAGCACACTTAATCGTTAAATACGTTTAAGCCATGCATAGGTGGCTGCATGATTGCAGCATTGATAAACTAGATAACCAGTTGAACTAGAAACCAGCTAACAAGTAACTGTCTAAATATGTAAAATGTAACTTGTGCTTAGGTCATCCTTTGTTTTGATCACCTTCTTGGGGGAAAATAAACCTGCGGCTCACAATGGAAATATATTAAGACTAAATCTTGTGATAATTCATTCCCAGAGGTTTCTTTAGCTGGATTAAACCTCCAACTGCATGGCAAGCCCAAGTTTGGGTCCTCCAGCATTCATGTTCTTCCTGTCTACCAGAGTAGACAGTATAAGCTTCACACCAGGCCGCAGAGTCTTGAGTATAGCCTATCCCAATTAAACTAAGGGTTGTTGAATTTTGCAGAACGGAAGTGGTAGGATCCAATTCATATTTACCAGTAGTGCCAAACTGAATGCAATTGGTGCCTGATGTCCATGCAAGGCTTACTAAGATGGACACATATTTCCTGATAAATTGATCCTCCATAACTTTAAGTCCCCAGTCCTGTAGCCCACTGCAAAATTTTCCCTTGGTACTCTTTGATTTGCCATTGTTTAAAGCCCCCCGAGTAACCAGCAAGCTAGCCCTTCCAACCAGGCAGCAGAATCATGGATTGCAGGTCCAGCAAAATCAAAGTCAACATCACAACCAAGGTTTATACATTCCCTCTCATAAGAAGACTTGGTTTGACCACTTTTCTTCCCCATGTTTGGTGACATAGTGATGTCAATTTTCAAATCTTGACAACTGTGAATTTGAATTGTAATTTACATCCCAGAGTGTTATTAGTGAAAGTCAGACTGTATTCACACCATTTATATCTGGTCTCCAAGGTTTCAGTAATTGTATCGATGTCTGTATTTGATGAATTGGATATTGAGAATTCAACACCGCTGCATGACTTTGTTTATATCCAGTTTCACCAACCCCAAACCTTCATATCCTTTGTTGAAAATATCCCTGGCAGGTTTGCCAAGGTTAACATATGATGGAAGAGTGCACATTGACCTCACACCACTCTGCCCAATGGTCGCCATGGTGAGGCAACAGGAAGGGGTATTTTGGTGGTCTCCTGAGGGGTGCTGCCCGTGCCACTCTGCTTACAGCTGAGGCTGTTTGGCTCCTGCAAAATTGGGCTACAGCTGCTATAGCTAGAGGCAAAAATAGAGGAGACCTCTATTCTAGTCGTGTGTTTTTATTTTTTAAAGCTATTTACTAAATTGATTTAAAGACCCATTAGTGATTTGCAAATAAAATTTTGAAAAATACTGAGGTGACCTAGTGCATGTAAAACATGTACCTCAAAACCAAACACATAAGAAGTCTTCAATAATCCTGTTTTCAGAACATTATTATTCACATGAACTATGAGACTGAAGGGTCAGAGAATTCTTTTTCTTAGGATAATCCATTTTGATGTAAACAATTATAGTTAGTTGTGCTTGAATGAAGAAGAGCAAGTGTATAGATTTCTCTTTTAAGAATTTATACTAAAAATCTTGCTTTGGAAAATTACTTTGTGAAATATTTTAAGATACTATGTCACTTGTAAATCTTGGCATTGATTATGATTATAGATTGATTCATGTAAAATATGTTGAGACTTTACTTTGATTAGGAAATTTGCTTCTACAACACGTCATGTTTTATATCATTTGTGGGAGCTTATGGTTTTCTACAGTGTGTATATTTCTCCTTTCATACTAAGGTCTTTTATATAAACAATGCTTGCATATCTCATTTAGGAAACAAATTCGGTAAAATTTGCATAGATGCTGCATGTCTTTGTTTTTCAAATTTCTCTCTGTCACCTATTGTTCTGACTGTATTATTTTTATGACACTCTTATCTTATTATAGATATAATTCTGTCTGGTATTGCCTAATCCTTGCCTCCAGAAAAGGTTTTTAATGCTAATGATTCTCTTTTATTAGGATCTTATGTACCATTATATCACTTTGTACTCCAACCTCCCAATAATTTTGAATAACTAGCTGACAATGCCACTTGCTATGCTACATTAAGGGCAACATATTTTATCTCTCATCTTCCCTACAACCATATTTTTTTTGTTGTATGAATTCTACTTTAAAATTTCTTGGCTTTAATACTTTATTTAAGACATCCTTAGCTTGTTCTTTATCTAATACCTACTGCAATGCTTTAACAATAATGTGTCAGTTGCATACGTTTTGATTTTGAATTTTCTTACTTTCTTTTCTGAGGTATTTTTCATATGGTATTTCATTGGAATGCCACTGTTTTACTTAGAATGTAAGTAATATGCTTTCCTGTCAGTGTAATAATATAGACAAGAACATGTTTTCATTTGTCTTGCCTTCTTGAAGATGGAGAACAGAATTTAGGCTTGAATAATAAAGACATAGATGCTGTTTGTCTTATTCAGTGTTGTATCTCCGTGGCTTAGTGCACTACCTGACACATAGTCAATCCCCATAAATATTTGCGAAGTGAGTGAATGAACAGGAAACGTTGAGCTATTGGAATGTGTTTGTCCTGTGATATA